AAAATTGAATATGTTGTTGCCTGGATTTTTTATGCTAATAGAGCTGCTAGAATTAGGGAATTTAATGAGCGTTGTGTACTATGTGATTTGTCACCAAGAAAAATTCCAAGACATATTAAAACAAGGTGGAATTCTTTTTACAAAATATTTTCAGTTGCTTACGAATATAGAGGACCCATACAAATGGTGTTTAATGCTCATAATGCTGACTCATTAGACAGAATTTGTGAAGAAGATTGGGAAGAAACTAATGAACTATTAGAATTTTTAAGACTTTTTTATGATGCTACAACCATGTTTTCTGGAATTTATTATCCTACTATTTCATCAGTATTAATAAATATTTGTGCTATTTCAATTCAATTTTCTAATTACAAAAAAATTGAATAATTTAGAGTTGCAATTGAAGGTATGATTGAAAAATTTTTAAAATATTTTTTTCCTATTCCTCAAATTTTTTTAACTGCTACTTTACTTCATCCTGACTATAAATTACAAGGTGTGCAGGGACTTGTTGACACTTTTTATGATACCTTAGAAATTTCACCGGAAATAAACCCAACTTGTGAATTGTGTAAGTGTAGCATAAAAGTAGAAGCAAAAATTTTGTATGAAAAATATAGAACTACAGGAAATACTCAAGAAGTTGGTCAAACTTCTAATCCTCAGAGTAAAGCTCGAATTTCAAGTTATATGCAAGATTTTCTTGGTCTTAATTCTACTAACCGTGATAATTTTGAAGAATATCTTAATCAATCTTTAGAAACAGTGGAAGACGAAGATGGCAATGAAGAATTATTAGCATGGTGGAGGAGGCGGAGCGTTGCATTTCCAATTTTGAGCAAAATGGTTCGTGATGTTCTAGCTATTCAAGCTTCATCAGTTGCATCAGAGGCTGCTTTTAGTGCTGTAAGGTTTCAACTTGGCGATCATAGACATTCATTGGCGGAAAACAGTTTGAAAATATCAGTTTTATTTAGAGATTGGGTCAACGCCGAGAGGAGAAATTATAATTTGTCAAAGTTAAGTTCCAAACAAGAAGCTTGGATTAATGTGGTACTTGGATCTAGTGATGATGAATTAGAGTCACAAGAGTTTCTAGCAAGTTTGCCAACACTGGAGGATGTTACCGTCGATATGATGCGACAATTAGAATTGGATTTTAAAGGAAAATACAAATATTAGATTACATCCGAGAACTAATTGAAACAGAACCCTTCCTAGAAGGTGGCTGCGTAAATTAGTTACTCATCTAATATTTGTAACAAATATTAGTTTTACATATGAGAACTTATTGAAACAGAACCCTTCCTAGAAGGTGGCTGCGTAGATTAGTTACTCCACTAATATTTGTAAATTGTAACTTCTAAGTTCTAGGTTGCAATTAGATTTTATTGAATAAATTTGAAGGCTTTATTAAGTCTTTTTTATATAACTATTGTCTTGCATTTTAATTTTAATATATTCATACATATTTACATATATACTAATTTGTTTGAAAATAGTTGAACATAATAAAAAGAGAACTAGCTATTACAAATTTTTATAATAAGGAACAAATGTTAAAAAATGGAACTTTAATACATCAACTAACACCTAGATTATTAAAAAAAAAAATTAAAAGAAGGAAAATTCAAAGTATTGCACATAACGTCCTTCTTTTTTGGGGCCTTTTCTTCATTTAAAAATCAAAATTTCAAGTTTAAATTACTTTAAAATATTTAAAAGACAAATTTGAACTTCTCAAATTTGTAATTTGAAAATTGAAAATTGAAAATTGAAGTTTGAAATTTGAAAGTTGAATTTGAAATTTGAAATTTGAAAGTTGAATTTGAAATTTGAAGTTTGAAATTTGAAGTTGGAAATTTGAAGTTTGAAATTGAAATTTGACGTTTGAAATTGAAATTTGAATTTTGAATTTTAAAATTTGAAAACTTAAGCATTATTTATTAGCTAAAAATGTTATTGAAAAAAAAAATCAAATAAACTAAAAATGTTATTCAATAACATATAATTTCAATACAAATAAATAAGTATATAAAAAATAAAAAATCCCCCGTCCCGTCCCGTCCCGTCCCCCCAAAACCCGTCCCATCCCGTATATATAGTGGGACGGGATGGGACTTATTTTTGTCCCCCCAATCCCGGTCTCGGCCAAATCCCCCTAGAACCGTCCCCTGTCCCGTCCCCCTTCGTCCCGTCCCCGTCCCCTTGCCAGCCATAGTGTGGGTGAATTCTGAGCAACCTAAGTTCCACCAAAAAATTTGAATTTGCCTAATGATGGATTGGGCGATGTCATTCTTAAGGGTAAAATCATTGTTTGGTCGAATCTAGATCAATTGAGGGAAGTCAGAGTAGCCCGGGGTGGGTAATCGTTGTGGGTAAGCTTGAATTGCATAAAATTGTCCTTGAAACTGCTTGTCATAGGTTGTGCGATAAGAATTGGAATTTGGGTTGGGAATCCGCTATGTTGGGCCATTTGGCGAGTTGAGTCGAGCTCACTGAGTGACTCAGCGGCTCGCCAATCGACCCTTTATCGCCTTTTTGACCTGATATGTTAGTATTTTACATTGTAACTTTCATCGATATGCGTGTGCTCATCGAATTTACTCGGCGACTTGCCGAATGAGTTTCGTCTCACCTTTCTTACTTTCTTGTTGGTTGTTTGTTTCTGTGACATTCGGTGAAGCTATCTCTGGTCGCCCAGTCGTTGAATGGTCTATGATATCGCCCTTTTATACTGAATTTCTGATGTTTCTTTCTAGAACTTTCGACGAGCCCTCTACTACTCGCCGAATGGCTTTGGCGACTCACTGAGTGAATTGGTGAGTTTTCCTGCACTCTTTTTGAAAATGACATTTTGCTAACCCTTTGCAACCGCATGTGTTTTGTTTGTATTTTTCTACAGATATGGCTAGACCAAAGCTTCCGGTGAGAGGTCCACCACCCCATAAAAAGGCAAAAGGGGTCATAATTGCAGTGATGGTCACAGCTCCTTGGCCACTCGTCCTAAGCCTCCTCATGGGTGTGTGAAGGGCAAATTGTGCACCGTTAAAAAGCAATCAAAGCAGAGAGATAAACAATACATGCATAAACACTATTCAAGAATTACTAATTATTTTGTCTACTTTGTTAATTCCTCATGGTTCCCACAACCCTAGTTGTGGATGTAGCTACTCATTCTTTGGTAATCACAATTCATATTAAGTATGTTAAAATAAATCATGAACTTATAGTTAGAGTAATTGAAATCCAGAATCTTGAATTGATGAACAAAAGCTATATTATAAAATGATGCTTCAAGAATTAAATGGACAAAGTCTTCAGAAAATAATTATCAAAGCCAAAAAAATAGCATTGAATCTACTAGCAAATGCACAAGACACAGCAAAACTCTAAGTTTAAAGCTTTATAAGTATTGTAAATCTGCGGTACATCATTGATCATATGGCCTTACATTTCCTCATAATCCTTTAAAATCCTCAAAAAAAAAAAAAATTGAAGGATCCTTTCTCTGTTGATACCAATATAATAGTATATCTGCATAAGTTAAGTGATTTAAATTCTGGCTCAATTTAGGCATTTCATAACTAACATAGTTATGATTTTAAATAAAGAATTAAGAGCACTTGATGACACTTCACCTGATAGAATGCATTGAGATAGAGATTAAAGAGTCCCCTTGCTTAACCCCTGATAGAGATTAAAGAGTCCCCTTGCTTAACCCCCTGATAGAGATTAAAGAGTCCCCGTGTTCCACTATATCCCAACAGATTTGATAAAAACTTATAGCGTAGACATCGCCACCACTAGCATTTTCTTCATTAAGATTGATAACTGTAGCTTTCACTGCTACTTCTTGAGTACTATAGTATTTTCCTTTCTTTTTTTTGTATCCCTTCTGTCTCAATTTATGTGACACATTTTGAATTTTGAGATTTAAACAAATCTATCTTTGACGGTAAATTTTTCATATTTCTTTTAAAATTTTGAATTGTCAATTATAGTACTTTTTACGTAGTTTACAAATATATAAATATTATTTTTTAAAAATTGAAGATTTCATTAGCAAATTCTCAATCAAACTTAAATTGTTTGACTCTCGAAAAATGAAATGTGTCACATAAATTGAAACGGAGGGGTAGTAATAAAAAAAATCTTCTGGGACAACATGAGTAACAAGAGACTAGGAATTAAAGGGAAAACTTATCGACATGGATATTAATATTACATTAATAAATATATAACACAACTGTTTGGATAATTTTTTAAAATTTCCCACGAGTAATTAATATTTATTGTTATCTCAATTTAGCTTGTGACCATGATTAATTAATGAAATTTAGTGCAACCACTAGCTCCAATGAATTTTCTTTGAAAAAATCTCCATTAGAAATTGAACTATGAAAGTGTTGAACTGAAACTTCATTATTGCTAAGACAAATGCTCGATAATTTTCCTTCGATTATGATACAAGACATTCCTTCTGGTACACAATTGAGATGAAACCAGAGAGACTAAAAGACAGTTGTTTTTGTCTCACAAGATTTCTCCATTCAAAAGAATAAAGCATAGACAAATGCTCTTTTTATTCTTGTCCAAAGGTAATGTGATTAAAACTAAACGTTAGTTACCACAAGTGATAAAAAGTACGTGTAATAGGTTGTTTGACCAAGCTTTTCCAAAAGAACTTCTAAGAAAAATACACTTTTAAAAAAGTTCTTGACCAAAACACTCATTGTTGTTCAAAAGTGATTTTTAAATTTATTGGCCAAATGCAAACTGATTCTCACCAAAAGTACTTTCGGAAAAAAAAAAACACATTCTAAAAAAAACTTATTCATAAGCTTACCCCAAACAGGCTGTTACAAATATACTCCAATTTTCATTGATTTAATATAAACATCAGGCGGGAGAGTAAAAGGCCTCACAAGTGGATATGATTTTAGTGAGCACCAAATTGAGTTTATTTTTGCTAAGACAAAACCAGTTCTTGTGCATTATGAGAAAAACTGCTAAGCCAATAGGCTCTTTGTCGCCTTGCAAAAACAACAGCACAGTCAATAACAAGTCCTACACTTGGGCATTACATCACACTACAATTCTTGAAAGAGATGTCACGTTTATGATTAGTAATTTCCGATAAAGATGCTGTAAAATGTTAGTTTACAATCACTTCTTTCACTTGTTTTGTTGGCTCAGTAATTCAATGAAGAAGTAGGGATTGGAAAGCAGCTTTACTTGATGTACATAGAGGTTGATTTCATTGATCATAACCCTGGCAAAACACATAAGTACCTGCACAAGCTTCAAAAGAGTAGTAGTTGTTGTGTGCTACAGGCTGTGTCTAACCTTTCTCAAAGTCTTAATCAAACCCTTGGCGATTTTCCAAAACCAGACGATATTTAGCAGTGCCAAACCAGGAGGTACAGTTAACAAGCTATAGAATCCCAGCGGATAAACTTTCTTGATCTGAAGAACAATTGAAGTAGTGTCAGAATGTGTCCTGTTATCTTTTTACACATGCATTTTCCGTTCAAATGGAGGAAACAAATATGTTATTTCCAAAACAGCTTCTAGTCAGGTAGGGCCAGTTGATACAGCTATCCTAAGCATAAAACATAACATCACATCAAGAAAATCTCATGGACATATAATTCATACCCGACAATCAATTGCATTTATTATGTTTAAATTATGAGATAATTATAACTCCTACAAAGTTTAAGATGTCTCACTTTCATCAATTATATAGGCTAGGCCCCAGGGCATTAGTCTAGTGGTAACAACGAATCTGTGATGTGTGGTTTACAGTACATGCACATCAGGGTTTGAATCTTGCCATTAAGTGAAGAAAGGTAGAGGAGCAGGCCCATTATTCACCGGCCATGACCCTCAGAAATTTTGCAGTTATAAGAAAAGCCTAATCAATTAGAGAAATCTTTAAAGTCTAAATGCATGTATCCCTTGTTTAGACACTTGGATGATGCAGAGGGAACCAAAACTTTGACCTAGCTACGTAATCAATTAGGACCTACAGTTTATAAATCAATGTCTAGTATAACAGACTTGAAGAATTCCGCCGAGCTTCAAAATCTCACAAGTATTTAAGTTGAAGAAGAATTAGGCCTTAAAACAGTTCAGCTTCTCAACATTGTGCAAATAGGTACTCACCAGATCAAAATGGCTAAACATGTGATAGAAAAAGAAGAGAAACAAAAGAATCCTTGCAACCTGAAAGCATCACATCAAAAACCTTGGTTATAAAAGTTAACAATTTATTAGCTTTAGAAGTCTCTAGACTAAAAAAAATAACAATAAAGTGTTGTGACGAAAAGATGAAAAACGAAAATCTAAAATAAAGAACACCAAGTTTAACGTGGAAAAATCCTTCAAAACGAAGGTAACCACCACGGGATCGACAAGATCCGAATTGCTTCACTATAACAATAAGAGAGTTACAATTATTCTTCTAATGGCTACACAACAAGTGCCAAAAGAGAACAAACAATAGCTACACCAACAAAAGATAAATAGAAAGAAACACCACCAAAAACCCAGCTGCTGTTCGGGACCTAAAACAGGATCTTGCTGACTTCCAAATCCGATCTCCACCGTTCAAATCAACCACCAAGATGTCAGGAACACTCAGTACAAATTTCAGCCCGATCCAACGGTTAGTTAATCGGAAAACACGATCTGAAGGTTGCTGGTCGGAATATAGGACTGCAACAAAAGAACCCTTTTTCTTCTCTCTTATCTCTTGTTGAAAGCTCTCTCAAAAACCTCTCTTATGTCCTAATGTCTTTCAAAGACAATATTAATGAGCAATCTTAATTATTCTCTCAAGACCATCCTCTATTTATAGAGTTGTGCTTTTCCTTACAAAGCCAAAACCAACTCCAAATAGGATTACTATTCCAATCCTTTTCCTAATAGAATTGGAAACCAAATAAAGAGAATAATTTCAATCCTTTTTCAAGTAGGATTAGGCCATGGGCCTTTGGCTGGAACACGGGCAATAGCCCAACAAACTCCCCCTCCAACCAAGGGGCCAAATGGGCTTCAAGTGGAGGAACTCTTGACAGGCTTCATGCCTGCTGCACTTCTACAAAACTCATGCTTGTCTACGATCACCACTTTTGTAAGCATATCTGAAGGATTGTCATCAGTGTGTATCTTCTCAACCTCAAATAATTTCTCCTCCAGGGCCATTCTAATCCAATGATATTTTCTGCTAATATGCTTGGACTTAGAATGAAAGGTAGAGTGCTTTGTGAGATAAATAGCACTTTGATTATCACAAAATAAGACAAACCTTGATTGTTCAAAATCAAGATCTTTGATAAACTCCTTCATCCAAAGCAATTCTTTGGCACCTTCAGTGATAGCAATATATTCAGCTTCTGTGGTAGATAGAGCTATGCACTTCTGAAGTCTTGATTGCCAAGAAATAGCTCCCCCTCCAAAAGTGATCAAATAACCAGAAGTGGATTTTGAATTATCAAGATTTCCTCCCAAATCAGAGTCTGTGTAGCATACAAGTTCAGACTTGTCACTACCAAAGCACAACTCCATATCTGAAGTACCCTTCAAATATCTTAGTATCCATTTCACTGCAGCCCAATGTTCTTTTCCAGGATTGGAAAGAAATCTGCTAACGGTACCAACAGCATGTGCAATATCTGGTCTAGTGCAAATCATAGCATACATCAAACTACCAACCGCGGAAGAGTATGGAATACTTGACATCTCATTCTTCTCTTCATTAGTAGATAGACTTTGGGTCGTACTCAACTTAAAGTGTTTAGCAAGAGGTGTACTAATCACTTTTGCCTCTGTCATGTTGAACCTCTTGAGTACTTTCTCAATATACTCCTTTTGGGATAGTGATAACTCCTTCTTGTGTCTATCTCGATGAATTTGTATGCCTAAGATCTTCTTTGTTGGCCCCAAGTCCTTCATCGCAAACGATTTGCTTAACTCTTTCTTAAGGACTACAATTTTAGATTTATTTTTGCCAACAATCAACATATCATCCACATAAAGTAGTAAGATAATAAAATCATCATCAGAGAACTTCTGAAAGAATACACAATGATCTGAAGAAGTTTTCTTGTATCCCTGATTTTCAATGACAGATTCAAACTTCAAGTACCACTGCCTTGGAGCTTGTTTCAAGCCATACAAGCTCTTTCTCAATTTGCAAACATGGTTTTCTTTTCCTTTAACGATGAAGCCTTCAGGTTGCTCCATGTAGATCTCCTCTTCTAAATTACCATGAAGAAAGGCAGTCTTGACATCCATCTGCTCAACCTCTAAATCTAGACTTGCGGCTAAGGCTAGAACCATACGAATAGAGGACATTTTCACAACAGGAGAGAAAATTTCATCAAAGTCAATTCCCTTTCTTTGACCAAAACCTTTGACAACTAACCTAGCCTTGTATCTAGGTGTAGATGTATGTTGATCTTGCTTTAATTTGAAGATCCATTTATTTGTTAAAGCTTTCTTACCTTTCGGTAACTCTACTAGCTCATATGTGCCATTCTCGTGAAGTGACTTCATCTCGTCTTCCATGGCTTCTACCCACCTATCTCTATGAGTATCTAGCATGACTTCATCATAACCTTCAGGTTCTCCCATGTCAGTCAAAAGGATATACTCATTAGGAGAATAACGTGTTGAGCTTCGCTTCTCTCTAGTGGATCTTCTACAAGAGGTTTGTGGAGCATCCAAATTTGTCATCTCAGCATTAGTTGGTTGATGATCAACCACAACATCACCAATAAGAACATCTATAGGTTCTACACCCTGATCATTATCTAGATCATTATCTTGGGTTCCTTCATGTGCAAAAGATGTATCAATAATAGGAACTGGATCAACATCAACTAAGCTCTCATCAATCTGAGAATCTGGTTTCTCAACCTTGTCAATATCTTCAATAGTTTGATCTTCAAAGAACACAGCATCACGACTTCTAATGAGCTTCTTATCAATTGGATCATAAAAGCGACATCCAAACTCATCTTGACCATAACCAATGAAGATGCACTGCTTAGTTTTAACATCCAACTTTGACCTCTCATCTTTTGGAACATGCACACAAGCTTTACAACCAAACACTTTCAAGTGATCATAAGAAACATCCTTACCAAACCAAACTCTATTTGGAACATCACCATCCAAAGCAACAGCAGGAGACAAATTGATAACATAAGCAACAGTGTTAAGTGCTTCAGCCCAAAATGAATTTGGAAGTTTAGCCTCTGAAAGCACGCATCTAACTCTCTCAACTAAAGTTCTGTTCATCTTTTCTGCCAGGCCATTTAATTGAGGAGTCTTTGGAGGAGTCTTCTGATGACGAATTCCTTGCGATTTGCAGTAGTTATCAAAGGGACCAATATACTCACCACCATTATCAGTGCGAATACATTTTAATTTCTTTCCCGTTTGTCTCTCAGATAAGGCTTGAAACTCCTTAAACACATCAAGTACTTGATCTTTGGATTTTAAAGGATATACCCAAATCTTGCGAGAATGATCATCAATGAAAGTTGCAAAGTAAAGCGCACCACTTTTTGACTTCACTTTAAAAGGACCACACAAATCAGAGTGTACTAGCTCCAGTAGCTCAGACTTTCTTGAAGGAGGATGACTGTGAAAAGAAACTCTTTTCTGTTTCCCATCTAAGCAATGAACACATCTTTTTACCTTTGCTTGTTTCACACCACCAAGCAAATTCTTCTTAGCCAAACAGGTAATCCCCCTTTCGCTCATATGACTAAGCCTCTTGTGCCACAATTCTGATAAAGTCTCACTTTCCACCAAATTTATAGAGTCTCCAAGGATCGATCCTTGTGTCACGTATAAATTTGAATGCTTTCTTCCTCGAGCTACAATCAATGAGCCTTTGGTAAGCTTCCATTGGCCATTGAACAATTCATTATGATAGCCATCATCATCTAGTTGTCCTACAGAGATCAAATTCAAGGGAATGTCTGGAGCATGCTTGACATTCTGAAGGACTAACGTTGAACCAGTATTGGTTTTCAAACAAACAGTGCCAACTCCAAACACCTTAACCTCACCAGCATTACCCATCTTTAGCACCTCAGAGTTAACAGAAGTATAAGATGAAAAGAAGTCTTTTCTCGGTGTGGCATGTGATGTAGCTCCAGAATCTACTATCCAACTTGTATCTTGAGATACAAAATTGATGACGTCTTTATCACAAGCAAAAAAGAAGGTCATCTCGAACAACAGCAACAACATTGTTTCCATTATTTTCTTCCTTCTTCCCTTCTTTAAGATCTTGCTTCAATTGTTTGCAAAATCTTCTAATATGTCCTTTCTTTCCACAATGATGGCATATAATATTTGGATTCCTAAATCTTGACTTGCTTCTTCTTTTACCTCTACTCTTCGAATCTCTTGTCTTATCTCTCCCTCGATCTTCTGTGTACAAAACATCTGAATGTGAGGATGTGCCTTGAGATTTTCTTCTAACTTCTTCATTCAACACACCACTTTTTGCATATTCCATAGTCACCTTACCACCAGGAGCAGAATTTGTTAAAGAGACACGAAGAGTTTCCCAAGAATCCGGTAGAGTATTAAGAAGCCAAAGTCCTTGTATTTCATCATCAAAATTAACACCCATTCCTGATAGCTGATCAAGAACACCTTGAAAATCATTTATGTGATCAAGAATAGGACTGCCCTCCTTGTATTTAAAGGTCATCAATTGCTTTAGCAAGAACAACTTGTTATTGCCAGTTTTTTGAAGCGTAAAGCGTCTCCAACTTTTCCCACAATGTTCTAGCATGTGTCTCATTCACAATATGGTTGCGAATATTATCTTCAACCCATTGTATTATATATCCACATACCTGTTGGTGCTATAAATTCCAATTTTCATCGGTCATAGTCTCAGGTTTATGAGCAGCAAAAACAGGAAGATGCATCTTCTTCACGAACAGTAGATCTTTCATCTTGCTTTTCCATATGTTGTAGTTTCTTCCGTTTAGACAAACCATCTTGCTCATATTCCCCTCCATATAGAGAACCTCGCTCTGATACCACTTGTTGTGACGAAAAGATGAAAAACGAAAATCTAAAATAAAGAACACCAAGTTTAACGTGGAAAAATCCTTCAAAACGAAGGTAACCACCACGGGATCGACAAGATCCGAATTGCTTCACTATAACAATAAGAGAGTTACAATTATTCTTCTAATAGCTACACAACAAGTGCCAAAATAAAACAAACAATAGCTACACCAACAAAAGATAAATAGAAAGAAACACCACCCAAACCCAGCTGCTGTTCGGGACCTAAAAGAGGATCTTGCTGAATACCGAATCCGATCTCCACCGTTCAAATCAACCACCAAGATGTCAGGAACACTCAGTACAAATTTCAGCCCGATCCAACGGTTAGTTAATGGGAAAACACGATCTGAAGGTTGCTGGTCGGAATATAGGACTGCAGCAAAAGAACCCTTTTTCTTCTCTCTTATCTCTTGTTGAAAGCTCTCTCAAAAACCTCTTTTATGTCCTAATGTCTTTCAAAGAAAATATTAATGAGCAATCTTAATTATTCTCTCAAGACCATCCTCTATTTATAGAGTTGTGCTTTTCCTTACAAAGCCAAAACCAACTCCAAATAGCATTACTATTCCAATCCTTTTCCTAATAGAATTGGAAACCAAATAAAGAGAATAATTCCAATCATTTTTCATGTAGGATTAGGCCATGGGCCTTTGGCTGGAACACGGGCAATAGCCCAACATAAAGATCATAAAAAGATCAAGTCAAATGAGAATAAGAAACAGTAACAGTTCAAGATGTTACTGTGTCAAACATAGCTTACTTGACTTTTCCTTCTATTTTCATGAATTACTTGGCGAGAAAGTCAAAACTCTTGATTAAAAGATTCATGATGCTATCAAGATTAACCTCAAAACAAATGTTTAATATTATTGCAAGTTTGTCATATCGCATAAAACCCAGGCAATTTCTTTTGGTTTCTCAAAATGTGGATACTTTGATATATTGGTCAGTGGTCACAAATATAATATTTGAGTTGCTGAATTATTGTTTAAAAAGATCCTTGTAACATAACCAGCTAAGGCACAAACACATTTTTTATCAAGTAGATTTTAAGGAATATGTAGCATTAGTAGAAACGCAAATATCTTCAGAATTTTCAGCAACACAGACCATATAACTACCGGTTGTTAAACTTTGAACGGAACATGATAGAAGCAAATGTTCAAGATAGTTGATACAACTAACTTGGTTTCAAGTTTAGTTATTGTTGTTACACTACATTGCATTGGTGGTAGCACAAAGACTTTTCTGATGAAATTAGACCACCTTTACACACTTATCGAGGACAAATCAAAAGTACCTTGTGCATAAAATGATTTCATCAAAGAAGAAAAACAATTTGTCAATTTATGAGAAAAGAGGTCATAAGTTTAAAATAGACCATTCTTGCCAAATTAAAATTTATAGCCACCCAAGTAGGAATCTAGCTTAGCTTCATAATGACGCATAGCATATCTGCATAATTGCAAGAACAAAGAGAGAAGGAAATATATTCTCGTGCATGACCATACCAGCCACCCAAGAAATAAAGCTACTCCATTACAGACATAAAGCTGAGAGTTCTTTTGACCAGCAACATCTAGGTACCTACATATATGCTAATACAGTCAGTAATGTAGAATATTAGGTTTGGAAGACAAGGAATAGCAGATGCCGATTGTTCTTACCATCTTAAATTAACAAAGGGAGTAGTACTCTCAGTAAAAAGTACCATAAATATATACATCTGTGCTTGACCACTTAAAAGAGATTGAACAATTGCAAACATTGAAAGTCCGTGATGTAAGACCTGAAAGATAAAATAAAAATTCAAAGTCAAAGTACAATCTTAAACATCAACGCCACAAAAGATTCAACAAGATACACAATCAGACCCTATGAAGAGTACGAGAAAATCATACATCAAGCTTTTACAAGAACTCATTGTTGGAGTTGGGTGGGATAAAGTAGAGAGGATTAGTACCTATTATGCATTGATTAAAAGCCCAACAACCCCAACTTATGAAATTGATAGTATACTTATACAAGAAAATACAGTGTTTTCTCATACTTACATACTCCGTTCCGCCCAAGGCTGGGAAGTAATAGAAAATCATTGCGAAGTCTGCCAGAAAGTAGCCAGCGGAGATCTGCATCACCATACAGATAGAATAGAGCTGAGAATTGATAATATATACATCCAACATAATGTCAACACAAGAAGCTAGAGTTGAATTAGATGAAGGAAGAAATAAGTTGTTCAAGTATAAACTAAAAGCATGACCACAACAACATTATTACTGTTAGATCCTGCAGGGAAAGTTAGAGTAGAGTAGCCCCAGGTAAGTAGAGCCATGATTGTGTTACTACCCTAAGAAATTGAAAGCATAGCGTTGCATGAAATTAATAAGAGTATGAATTAAGCATTTTGCTCTCTGAAATGGTTATAATAATAAAACTCCTAATGACTAACATACTTCACAATACGGATAAAACATTTGTTCATCTAAACTAATTTTTATATATGAGATAAAATCTGGCTAACTGACGAAATGGAGAAATATTGGCAACCATTTATAATTGTAATCTAAAAGGAAGTCAATGAAAGTAGTTTTGGCATAAATACCCCGAGTATGCTGTCTGAAAAGGCTGATGTTCTATTTATCATTAACTCATCCTGAGCACCATCACGGAAAAGGTCTGATTCAAGCAAGAGATATAAAGAAGCAGCTGCTACAAGGAGCGCATGAAAAGTGGAAAATCCTCTGATCAAACGAAAGATTCCTCAGTAAGACACTGGCACCATCCAAGACACATAAACTATATCACTAGAAATTAAAAAAATAAAAATTTCACATGACAGTTAAGATTACTACCTGTTGTTCCATTCAAGTTTCTTCTGCCAATCAAGTTTAACATATCCCGTGAAGAAGAAAGGGCTTATAGCACCTGTTAATTGATAAACCTTCAACCAAAAAATATAACATCTTCCAAAGTAAGATGACAAGCAATAACACAAGCTATGTTTTTTATTCTAATCAAGCAAAGCAAAAAGAGAGAGAGAGAGAGAGAGAGAGAGGTGAAGGCCGAAAAGGGCATACAAGTTTAACTTTTATCAGAGGTAAGGAAGAATTGTATTTTAAAACCTCTACTTTTTTTAATTACTAAGGAAAAAAAATATTATCCAGCAAATGCATGTAATAAGTGCAGACAAATACAATTTGGTTAACTTATAGGAAATGCATCAAAACATTATGACCAGAATAGCAAGCAAGAATGTCAAAGATTTCATTCCCAAAGAAGAAAAATGGAATTGAATCTCGTTTGAAACAGGCAGAAATACAAGGTGGTTTGGTAGATCATAATATGTTTTTTTCTTGTAAAGGCAATAGAAAACTAAGGCTAAAGCATATGTGAAGGGTGTGGAATGTGAAGAAGAAGAAGAAAAAACTCACAATTTTACAGATGATGATACCAGCAAAGAGAGAAAGCAGCCACAGTAATTCTTTAATGGGGGTAGCATGACCCGCTATGCTAATCAATCCAGGACCCAACATATTGCTACAAGGGAACATCAAATCTTAAATCTTTACAGAAAAAGATTCACATACAAACACAAAATAGGTCAAATTCTTACAGGAAAATTAAAGATGACTGACATAGAAGAGGAAGAAGAAGAGGAAGAAGAAGAAGAAGAATGTTTCAACTCTCTAGGTCAGAGAATTGACCACACCCTTGAAAGAAATTTAATGCCAATAATCACAATTCCATTTTTTTCCTTCCTTTATTTTGATTTTCCAACCACTATTTCATATTTACATTCACTCCCCATTCAAATTCATATTCCTACCCATCATAAAATCCATTTCTACAGGAAATTTGGCACATTAGGGTTCAATTTGGGGGGAAACTGCAATTATATCTATTAATTCAGTTTCTACTTTTAAATAATTATTTATATTTATTATTTTACTATTTATTAATTATGTACTATATTTGGAGTCAAATACATTAAGATACATCACTTCTTTAAAATAGTGTAAAATAGAGATATATCTATTTAATTATCTATATAATTTACTCTCACTATCTATCCTATTCCTTCCCCTCCCACGTTTATCACCCAAAATTACTTTTCAATCCGCTTAGGCTTGACCATGATGATATACTTTTCGTTGATGTTACCCTAATACCTACCGGAGATGGAGTGTCGTTGGGTTTTTGGTGGCTTTCGGGAATTTTGGTGGTGAGGAAAAAAGTAGCAAAGAATGGAGAATTTTTCGCTCGTTTGATGAAGTTTTCACCGAAGACTGCGATTACATGAAAGTAAGGAGACAAGCAGCGAGGTCACATTGATCGCTCGCTGGAGAAGGGAGAGACCAAGTGGAGAGGAGAAGAGACGGTGATAAAAATATGCATTTGATTAGGTGTACATTTATCTATTTAAGAGTTCATGTATCTGATAAAGTGTACATATATTGAAGTTAAGATTATATATATCCATGGAAAAATATATTTCGAACTCCAAAGAAATGGGATGAAATTTCAAATTTTTGAATTTCTTAAAGAATAAAATAAGGGAAGAGGCAATGAAAAAAATTGATGCTAAAAAAATGTAATGAATTTTGAAAAAAAATTGATCAGTGATACGGTAGATACTCTACAATCGTGATTTGCTCTTTAATTGATGCGCTTAAATTATATTTCATAATTAGATACACATAATTAGATGTATCTCTTAGCGTATATCTCAGATTCTGGACGTGCTAGATACATGTGTTTCGGGACCGAAATATTGTTCAAATTATAATATCAAAAACTCACGAAAGAGTAATTATTAACCTTTAAACTAGTGAGATTTGTGTTATTTGCCCTTCTACTTAGTAGTGTGTAGCCAATCTCCTAAAGTTGGATCAAATAGCCAGAATTAATATTTTTGGTCAAATACTCATTTTGTTCACTTTTGTCCACTATTTCAAAAATATTGTTTTGGTTTTATTTGTCACTATTCACATATATAAAAAAGCACAACTATTTTGTTTTCATGTTTTACCCTTAGCATTAATTTCTTATTCCCAAAAATCATCTTTCAAGACCTAATACTAAACATCAATCTTATATATATATATAAAGAGAATCCTAGGCCGCTTACGTGGCATCATTAGAATTCAGAAATTTATTTCTATGTTTTTCTTTCTACTTTTAGGCATTTTACCCTGATTTTATATTTACCTTTAAATCAATTTTTTCAACTCATGTGTCCCTTCAAACTGTTGTGTCCCTTCGTTTGCGTCTCTTCAGGAACTACCTATAAAGACTAGGCAAATCATACCAGTTGTTGTATCATTTTTTCGTGACAAATTTAATCTCTAATTTCTTTGAAACTTTGTCAATTCCTTTGAAGTATACTTTGGATCTTCACCAAAGAAAAAAAAACTATAATTTACTTGTAATTTTTTCCTCCATTCAACATGTCAAAAGAAAAACTATATTTCAGCTAATCACAACCATGACAATTTTTTGGTTCGTACCTACTTTTTTTTTTTGGGTTTTCTCTTCTGTCATCACTTTGTCTGACAACTTAAGTTTGTGTTTTATTCAATGATCTGTAAAATTTTATCTTTTATGAATTTTTATTAAATTACTTTTGTGTTTTTGGTTATCAAAACTTTTTAAGTATTCTTGATGAAATCAGAATTGGAAGAGACAACAAAGAGAGAATAAATTCCGCCGCAACTTGATAAGGTACTTGTATTTATTAATATATTTTATTGGGAGTTGAAATGTTGTTGTATTAATTATATCTCAAAAATGTTGTAAAGTTTGGCGGAGATGGAAAAGTCACTACCCTTCGAAAACGTCACAATCCTTCAATGTAAAAAGGTATCTGCTTTTAATATATTTTATAATATAAATAAATATAGTATGGAATATTTTGTAGGATTTGGGCTAACACTTTTGGTATTATTACTTATCCAACAACTTTGATATAATCAATTAATCAAACGAATGGTCCATAAAGTTGCTTAAAAAAATATAGTATGAAAATATATAATATGTACTAAATTGGGTGTTATGAAGAAGAAGAATAGAAAACTTAGAAAATTTGTTGTTTAAAAATGTGAGTGAGCCCCTCTATTTATAGCCAACAAATGGTAGTATGAATAAGTTCTTATTATGCCCTATTAGAAAAGTCACAACCAACTCTTTCAGAAAAGTCACAACTCTTTGGAAAAGTAACAACCTTTTAGAAAAGTAACAACCAAAAGTCTCAACTCTTTGAAAAAGTCACAACCCTTTAGAAAAGTCACAATCATTCAATGTTAAAAGGTGTCTTCTTTTAATATATTTTATATTATAACATAAATTGGGTGTTTTAAGAAAAAGAAGAATAGAAAACTTATGAAATTTGTTGTTTAAAAATGCAAAGGAACTCCTCTTTTTATAGCCAGCAAAGGTAATAAGAACATGTTATGCCTTATTAGAAAAGATTGATTATAGTGGTATGTGAAACTTTCTTGGCATGCATTTGGCGAGGAGACCTTAGGATAAGTTGCTAAAACAAACGGGATGAGAGGATCGACCCATTCAAATAATTCCGAACAAAGACTGCTGGCAGCAGGTAGAGAGATTTTTTTCCTTTTCAAAACACAAGGAAATGCGGGCAGGGTAGAGCTCGTCAGAGGGTTCAAGAATAGGGTAGGGTCATGTCCTTAAGATTCAGATAAGAAAAGAGTTCCAAGCCTTTATGCTCCGTACAAGTGCTGCATACAAGTTCCAGCCAGGATGATTGGGAAAGATTCAACCAATTTGAACTGCTCACATCACAATAGTAATAGCGTAAAGGCCGTAAGTCAGGGGGAGGCCATAACATATGGCTATTACTTTCACACCTCTTTCTCTCTGAGAGAGTGATCCGCTGCGTGAGCAACCCGATTGTGCCTTACATGTGCTCTACATGCCGCACATAATCTTTCTTCCCAATGAGCCCTCTTTTTATTTGAAAGACCGGCATTATGTTCGGTTCGAAAGGCATGATTTTCAGTATGTCTCCAGATAGTGCCCCCACTAGTACGGCTAGCTAGTGAGCAGTTCTTTCGGGCGGGAAGCAGGCCGAACCTTACGGGCGGACATCTCCCGCAATGCAAGCACCATTATTCGACACCACCCGAGAAGCAAAAGATTCGTCAGTCCAGGCTGAAAATACATGCATAGATAGTGGTTTAATGTCAAGGACAATGACAGAAGCTCAGGACAGAGCTGTATGAGGTGGAAGTCTCACGTACGGTTCTCTGAGAAGAGAGTGGCTACCTACTGGAGCTTCGACCAAGCACCACCGGTCAATTCCACTTTGGGGCCACTCTGGCTCTACCATTATTATAGGAGTATGGGGTTCGAGACAAAGAGAGATTAAGGCAGCATATCAGTTGTTCCTTTATATTTTACTTGGATTTGTTTTTATGCTATTAGCTATTCTGTAGATTCTTCTCCAAACAGGAACAACCGATTTACAAATCTCATTAACCACAATATTTAGTGAGCGGCGCCAAATCTTTCTATGAATTGCTTCTTTCGCCTCTTTCTATTTGGTAAGTTTTTTAAACCTTCAAAATTACATATGTATTAAAAATTGTGTTTTTTTAATAATTTCTTGGAGTAATCCATTTTTGTAGGCGCACATATTTGGTCTGAATCTGCTATATTATTTTACAATTTAACATCATATGAATTATCAAATTTGGGGTATGCTAGCGATGTACTGATATGAATATGTTTTACTTTTATCTTGCTCAAGTAATAAGCTTTTATTAAATAGATAGTCGGTATACATGAAGATAGGCTATGACATAAAATTAAGGTTGTGCAGCGGACCGAAACGGCACTACCGGACAGGAACGAACCGGTATCGGACCAAAATGGGACGGTTTGACTGGTTTGTTGACGAGTACCGGGATGAACCGGACCGGAATTACCGGGACGGATACTCGATTCCCTCCCATCCACTATATATCGGGATGGAACCGGAATGGAATAAACGGGATGACACATCTAGCTATTTCAAAAAATGATAAAAAAAATTTAGTTATTTTGATTTTTTGAATTACGAAAATATGAATGTTTTTTTTATTTTTCTAAGTTTAAACTTTAAATTAATAGTTTTGAAATGTATAATGTAATTTTACTTTAGTTTATTTTAAAGATATTTTTTTAAAATTTTTACCAATTAAGTTTACAAGTTAAGTTTAATAAAGTTTTTTTTAAAAGATTTTTAGCTTAGTTTTCAAATTTCAAGATTTGAATCTTTTGAAATTTATAAGTTATTACTTATTAATATGTTATAACTTATAAGTTATATTTACAACTTGTAATTTAAATAACTTAACTTTGTAATTTAAAAAAAATAAGTAAAAATAAGGATAAAATAATGACACAAATGACAAATTAAAAAAAATATCAATCCAATTTATTTAAATTTGTATTACAAATTACAAATTACAACTATTAGTAGAGTGCATAATTTACGCAGCCACCTTCTAGGAAGGGTTCTGTTTCAATTAAGCCTCGACTGTAATACTAATAGTTGTATAGTCCTGTAAAGCCTTTCTCTAACTCAGCTATAGTCC